AAACGTTGGCCTCGCTTCGGTCTTCGGTTTCTGGGGCTTTGTCCGTTCCCTTAGAATTGCTGTTGACACATTTCGGTACAGTGTGTCTTTGGATGACGAAGCGGTTTTTAGGTCTCCCCAACGAATTATGCAAGAGGCGCACTACTTTAAGAAGGTGCTACTACAGTCTATCCGCACATGATGGTGACATCCCACGACAGTGCATGAGTCTTATTCATTGAAGCAAAGTATTGCAGCTCAACCGACATTGTCGGCACAATGTGTTTATTTCTACTTAGTGTGAATCGCGTTGTAAGGGCTCTTGTTTCAGGTGCCCCGCACGACTAAACGTATATGTACCGTACCTACACCGTTGCCTTTGTTTCGGTCCTCGGTTCCCGTGGCTTGGCTTCGTTCCTCAGGGTTCGTGTCGGGATGTTATCTCGGCGTGGTGTGTCTTTGGATGTCAGAGTGGTTTTTAGGTCTCGCCAATCGGAATTGCACAAGAGGTGTACTACTTTAAGAGGGTGCTACTACAGCCTGTCCGCACATGATGGCAGCATCTCCTCGGCAATGCATCAGTCTTATTCATCGGACCGAAGTCTCGTAGTTCCACCGTCATTGTCAGCACGATGTGTTTATTTTCCATAAGTGTGAATCGCCTGATCCGGACTCGTGCATGAGGTGCACTGCGCTAAAAGGCGCATATGTGCCGTACCGAAAACGCTGGCCTAGCTTCAGTCTTCGGTTCCAAAGGTTTGGTCCGTATCCTTAGGATTTTTATTGGCATATTATCTCGGTAGGGTATGTCTTTGGATGTCAGAGCGGTTTTTAGGTCCCGCCAATTGGAATTATACCAGAGGTGTACTACTTGAAAAGGGTGCTACTGCAGTCCGTCCGCCAATGATGGCAACATCTGACGGCAATGCATGAGTCTTATTCATCGGACCGTGGTCTGGCATATCCACCGACATCGTCAGCAAGATATGTTTGGTCCTAATAAGTGTGAATCGCATGATCCGGACTCGTGTGTAAGGTGCACTACCCCAATAGACATATATGTGAAGTACCGAAAACGCTGGCCTTGCTTCAGTCTTCGTTTCCCGGGCTTGATCCGTTTCCTTAGGGTGGCTGTTGGCATAATATCTCGGCAGAGTATGTCTCTGGATGTCAGAGCGATTTCAAGCCTTGCTCGTTGGAATTGTACAAGAGGTGCACTACTTTAAGAGGGTGCTACGACAGTCCCTCTGCACGACATGATTGCAGCATCTCACGGCAATGCATGGGTCTTATTCATCGGACCGAAGTCTTGCAGTTCCATCGACATTGTCAGCACGACGTGTTCAGTTCTAAGGGTGTGAATCGCATTATCCGGACTTGTGTGTGAGGTGCACTACGCTAACAGACGTATATGTACCGTACCGAAAACGCTGTCCTTGCTTTAGTCTTCGTTTCCCGAGGCTTGATCCGTTTCCTTAGGGTGGCTGTTGGCATATTATCTCGGCAGAGTATGTCTCTGGATGTCAGAGCGATTTCAAGCCTTGCTCGTTGGAATTGTACAGGAGGTGCACTACTTTAAGAGGGTACTACGACAGTCCCTCTGCACATGATGGCAGCATGTCACGGCAACGGAGTAGTCATATTAATTGAACCCAAGTGTTGTAGTTTAAGCGACAATGTCGTCACGATGTGTTTGGTCCTAATAAGTGTGAATCACATTATCCGGACTCGTGTATGAGATGCACTGCGCTAATAGACGTCAATGTACCGTACCAAAAACGTTGGCTTGTCTTCGGTGTTTGGTTCCCGTGGCTTGGTCCGTTTTTTAAGACTGCTGGAAATGCTTCAGTTCCGCCGACATTGTTGGGTTTTTCTCTGTGCTGTCTGTTTGGAAATATCAATTCGAGACACGAATGTGAAGAACTGGGATACTTTTCTTGATTGCTCGAATGTACGTAATTTGGTGCTTATGTTGCCCTTTTAGTATATGCTATAAATCGTCGGCTGTCCGCGTGTTAAAAATCATATCACCTGTTTGTGGCCGAAATTATTATATTATCAGATGGTCATTTCTTGAAGATGATAGGCAATCATGCGAGCATTGTGAGTAGCAGTGGTCGAAACGACGTAGTGAATAATGTTAATTGCCTGCTCATTATTTTTGGTGCTAAAGATGTCGTTTGGATTGCGTGATTTCAAAGTCGGGCAATCCTGCTAACGCGAGCTGGTTGAGCCCGTGCCGCACTGCGCGTAAAACGCTAGCGGTGGAGATTTTTCTTCTTCTAAAAAAAGGTGAAGTACTTGAAGAATACCGGAAACTCAATAGACAAACAAAAAAGGAATAAGTCTGGTTATAATCATGTGACGAAAGTAGGTTAGGTTATGAAATACTTGCTTTACAGGAGAAACTTCCTGGTAGGCTTTAGAATTCAGGCGTAAGCTTTCTGCTCCACCACGCAAAAATTCAGTATATTTCGCATGGTTTTCTGACAGACAGGGTCATCCGACCCTCCGACAAGATATTAATATCCATTCATTACACGGGAAATCAACCCCCTTCGCGCTGGCCTAGAAAACTGGGCGTGCTACGTATGTATAAAGATAGAGTGGGTACATTTTTCCAGTCCATGGTGGAACCTGTTCTTTTGAGGCTAAATGTTTTGGAGAATATATGACAAAATGAGCAGAGGTTGGCTGGTAAACACTACCGAAATCAAGCACGACGCATTGATTCCAAAGCAAATTAAGGCCACCCGGTTTCTGGCGGCCAGCAAGCAAGTCGATGTGATCAGCTGTTGGATGAGGACTAAGGCAGTGTTTTGTTTTTGACTGATATGAAGGAGTACAATATATCTTTACATTCCAAATGCGTTGAGATGGTGGCGCATAAACATAGTTACTTCACGAATTGTTTAATAAACGGGAATGGCACATCCGACGTCGGCGGCGTGTAGAAGTATCTTCCGCAACTGCGCATAAAGATTTGTCGGAGCATATGCATCTGTTGCTCCAAGGCTCAGGTGCCCAGGAAAATTGTCGTGGAGTTTTCGGCCCTGTTCTTCGGCCTCTCGGCCCCGGCCGTTTATGAATTAAATGCCCATACAAGCCCATCCATACCAGCAGGAGATGCACCCTTGCGTTGTAAGCACATGTGGGACTTTTACCAACAAGTAAGATCCTTCTCACTTCATCGGGTGAGCCCACAACCAAAGAGGAGCGCCCCGGAGCGATCAAGAGTGCACCCAGGCGCTTAACATTTAGGTACCAGTCAACGGCGTATGCTTTCCGATGCAATGGACAAAGTGAAGACCAAGAGGGACGGCACCTCGGCGATCAAGATACCGCCAAAGACAACAAAGAGGCTCCTGTCAACAGTGCAGGGTCCTCAGAGAAAAGTAAAAGCGCCCAAGACCAATGTGGCGCGCTTCTTAACCATCGGGCGTATCCCGGCCAGAGCGCAGTCCCTCCGAGCACGCGGGAGGAGCCCGAGATCAGTGCGCATGAATCAATGGCCTTGAGTGATTGAGAGCGACTTGACAGATGAACGTAAATACGAGTACATCAGTGCACATGCAAACTCGGAAAAACACATATCATACACTCGTCAAAGCTGTTTAGGTTAATGGTCATTAGGCTAGATGGTTTAAAATCCAAAACAAGAATATCGTTGTCCTAACAATACCCCATTCAAACTTCGATCATCTTGTTTTCTGATTTAGAATGCAGCTTTGAATTTATTGCCAACGCCGCATTGGTATCAACCCCATGCCGCATCAGCGAGCAGTTCTTCACAATGTTTTCCTCGAGGCCCATTTCAAGTACATTTTAGCTCCGCATCCAGTACAGTTTATTGGCGCTTTGCTGACAACAAGCCTCAAATGACTTAAGATGCGTTGTGGGTCATTGGTCATGGTATGATTTGGTCATGCTGGTGAGGATGTGCCGACCAGCGTTCTATTGGTCGCCAGCAGCGCTGCGCTTACCCGCCCGGACGCGTAGGTCCACCGCAGGGAGGACACTGTGGTGGCCGCCAAGAGCCCGCGGGGTTTGTTAAGTCACCGAGCCAGGCAGGAAGTGTCCCAAGAGGTGAGCGGCGAAACTCGTTTGCAAGGTAACTTCTGGCAGCGGTTGCGCTAAAGGTCAGTTGACGTCAGAGGGCAGGCCGGACCGTGCCGAGCACTGCGGCACGCTAAGCCTTCGCCACTAAATTCTGTCGTTGCCTGGAATTGCGCGATCGGATGGTGGGGGTCAGGGCTCACACAACAAGCACTGGTTTGCGTAAGCACTGATCACAGAAATCCATCCATTCAAACAGTTCGGATCAAATTTGTTTAAAAAACTAAAAAAGCCCTGGTCTCAAACGGGCCTGATACCAACCAGGTATCAGTTTACCAACCAGATACCAACCAGCTGCAGCCTCGTACCAACCAGGAGTGATGAGAAAACCGTCGAAATAAAAATGAAAAAGAACGTCTACATTTCATTTATTTCCACATTTTTCCACGATCACATCGGTGAGTAATTTTCAAAGGGAGCCGGCCGGACCAGATGCATACACTGCGAAAGGAGGCGAATCCGGCGAAAGCGTTGGTAGCAAAGTTCACCGTGCCAGCATCATGACCAAGTGGACCGCTGCGTAGTTCCGTCCGCCTGCCAGACCCCCTGCTGGGCCTCCCGTGGCGCCGTGATGTTATCGGCCTCTTGAGACGCCGCTGCGATATACCGGCTGCTTTTAACTGGGGGTGCACGGTACGTCTTGAGCAGTTCGATAGGGACCACCGCGGAGAGAGCACCGACCACCGCACCACCGCAGTACAGTAAGGAACCGTGGTACGCAGCACAGTCACCGACCGATCCAGACAGCACAGTCACCGAGCCAGGCAGCAGTCATCGACTGAGCCAGGCAGCACAGTCACTGAGCCAAGCAGCACAGCCACCGAGCCAGGCAGCAGTCATCGACTGAGCCAGGCAGCACAGTTACCGACCGAGCCAGACAGCACAGCCACCGAACCAAGCAGCACAGTCACCGAGCCAGGCAACACAACTGCCCACCGAGCCGCGCTACCAAGGTGAGCATTGCCAACAGACCGTCTGTCTGCTGGCGGCCTGTGCTTGTGGAATTCTGGGTTGCGGTGGCGTTATTCAACGGCATTTAGTGACCACAGATATTTTAGCCTTCGTTTTATTTTAAAATTTACTGGCACTGATTGATTCATACAGACCGTCATATGATAAGCGTTTGCTGTAGCATATCGAATCAGATTGGGGTGACTTTGTTAGGCCTGAGAAGTCCGACTTGTTCGGAAGAAAACATCAGCAGCAGCTTCACTTTGAGCGTTGATTGAATTTTAATGACTGCTGAATGTCGACTAGCAAAATACATACTCATGCTTATCATATAATTCCGCCTGACTGGTGAGTATATATGCGCACCTACCAACAGGAGCGAAGCCACGGGGTTTGTGGGGGGAAGCAAGATTTTTCAGGGGGCCTTCTGGACAAAATAGGGCCTCCTCACAGGGGTCATTCTGCGCGGTGTCGTATTCAAGGGGAGGGGCACCTAGTTCATATCCCTCTTACCAAGCGGCTGCGGGCATAATATCCTAGGAAATAAATATCAGCAGTAAAAAAACAGAGTAGGAGACTTTTGATTATTTATCAAACGTTTTCCCTAACCCAAAACCTAAATAAATACTGATGGTATCTTTTGCAGCATGTACCGCTATAAGAAAATGCAAAACTGCAAGGTGTTTGATGTGAAATGTTAAGTTTAAGAAGGCTATGTTGGTCATTCCAGTTAGTTTCTGCCGTAAATGATATCATAACCACGTACATTGAAAGCGCTTGTACAACTTGGGTGGGTAATGCCGTGGTGAATGGCCTTTGGTTTTGGTGTTCAGACCGGTGTACGTCTCCTCATGTGAGAGCCGTCGACCCGTTCCAGGCCATGCATGCCGTGTTAAAGGGAATGTTTCACATTTGAAGATGTAACAGCTGACATCAGATATGATGAAATAACATCACTTATAACCATTGGTATACTTTTAAGCGGAAAACACCGCTCTAGACAACACATTTTCTCCAACTGATGAAGATGCTTCTTAATGCGTCATTGTATGATCGCGTCATCCTACCATGCACGACATTCATTAAAAGCCAATTGACGGTCGTCTTACCTGGAAATCATGCTCACGAACGCGGAGCATGTGGCGAGCAAGGCCAATGGAGCCACTGAATGGATGACTTGAATGAATGAGTGAGTTACAACAACGTTGTTATGGCGTCATGGATGCCTGGGTGACCTTGAAATAATCTCGAAAAGTACACACGTCTTTGCGGGCGTATAGCTCGAAAACTAGAGGGATTCAAATTTTAAGATGCACATGGCTGTGAACTGCACCGATTGGTTTTCAAAACGGCTATTTTGGTTCAAACTCGTATCCAAAGTGGAAAACTCCATTTAACTGCACGATATTGTAGCGGCGCACTCAGTGAGCGACAGGCGTGGAACTATTGGCGAGTGTTATGGTGGCGTTAGCTCAAATTTCATCATGAATAATTTCAAAGTTCATCTTCAGAACCAGTGGCATTCACAGTGTTTGTTGGGCGTGATGTATGATCCTTTGCAAAAGTAGCAGCAATTGAAGGTCACTAAGAAACACAATGTCCTTGACATTTCTAACGGTTGGGATTCGCTCACATGATGTGTTAGAACCAAAATAATATCAAACATATCACACTGGATCCGACATAGGTGGGCAGCTAGCCCCTCCCGTGTAGAGTGGGGCTTGCTTTAATTGGCTGATATTTATGGCGAGTATCGCCAAATAGCAACGGCGCCTCTTACTTAGTATCTAGTGTGCTTCTAATGATAATTTCAGCTAGTGTCGGGCCCGCTAAAATGCGTGTATAGTAAAGCCTTTAGCGTGTACATACATTGGTGAGATGAACAGGCGCCACTGGAGTGCAGTGCTGCGGATGCAGCGGCACTATATTAACTTCACATAATTTCGCATTCGGGTCTGATTCCCCACTTCCCCTGCACACGAGCGTTGACACCGTCTGGGACGAGATGCTCTGTCACGGACATTGCGAGATGTGTCTGGTGACATCGTGCTCGCTTTACAAGATTCAGTCGCTTTATGCTCGACATCGGCTTTTCAGTCACACATGCCGGCCGTTGATTGCTTGTTTGTTGAAACCGCTCTGAACGCTGATTTCTTAGAATCAGATCTCGTCAGTCACCCGCCCTCCAAGGAGCTTTAAAACGCACTCGGGTGGCCGTTTAAAAGCGGGGCGCTCAGGTAGGGTGGGTATCAATGCCCCCCCCCCCCTTCCCCCTGAGGCCCGAAAACTCAGAGAGCTGGTGACAAAAACTAAGAGAGCAAGTAGGGTTATGTGTGGTTTCATTTGCATCCAATTTTGAGCTTGATCATGTCGTTTGGGTTCGATAAGGTCAAGCAAGGTCAAACTCCAGATTGATGTACAAGATGCCATCAGACCTCCTGACGCATCCAGCTTTAACCCGAATACCTGCGACAGGACAATATGACTAGTGTTCATGTCAGGTGAGTGACGTTATGTGACGTTTAGAAGGCAGCAATGACCAAAAATAATCGAGATTATTTTGATATTGGAATTTACAGTGGGTGCCACGCACTACCTTAGGCGGCCTGCTCCTCAACGCAAAAGACTGGCCGAGGCCCGCCGGCTCATCGCTTTTTAAGGCAACGAAAGGATATAACAAGTTCGTTAATGAGGCCTGAAGAAGTGACGACAAGTTTTCTTGCTGTTAATGTTATTGCGCTTTTAAGTCTCTACAGTAAGACACATGGACAGCTATTGAACGCATTTGAACGGAGACAGTGGTCAGCGTGACTAAATTAACATAGCCTGTGGAAATTTCTAGAAAAACAGCCTAAACTCGTTAAATCAACCATGAACTTTACAGCATTGATCATCTCATTCAACATCAAACACGAAATGACAATTCAACGCATTCTGCGCACGGGTGAGTCAGCCTTTATTTAGGATGTTTCATGAAATATAGAAAGGTATTGTATATTCGTCAGGCAAATGGGGCAAATAAAGTGCCCGCAGCCTGGTGGGCATTTCAAACAGCGCCTGAGATTTCAGTCAGATCGCGCAAGGATGATATTTCACAGAAGTGGCATAACTAGTCGACAATATGTGAAACGCCAACTTTGTGCATAAAATACCGGCTTAGGCTAAACGCCTACGGCAGATATAGGCACGGAACCTGTTTAACAAACGTGCGTATGGTCGTCCTACGTACAAAAACAGATGAAGTCGACTACGTTGGAAGAGGGTGAAATGAATGCCCGTTGGACCAATTCATGCCAACGACAGACAGTTTCCCGGAAGTACATTTGCTGCTGTTGTGTGGTGTAAGGTATGATTTCGCGAAGAGGAACCGTAGCAGACAGCTCATCGGCTTCACACACTAATTATCAGTGATGCTTGTCCATAAACCTGACATAAAGCAGTCATATGATAAGGCTTTTGTCAACTGGCTTTGGCAGATACTATTTTAAGTTTTCGAATTTATTGTTGCTTAAAAATCTGCAGCAAACACTTGTCTGTTGAAGAGCAGTCGATAAAATCCAGGCGCACGAAAACTGCAACGCATCATGGGTCAGTTTAAGAATTCGAAATTTCTGACGATGCTGTGCCAAGGCAGTATTGATACATCTAAACTTTGGAGGCAGGTGCCTTCCCAGTGACCTAGAATGCCTACCAGCTCGTGAAATTTCACCTGCCCGGGGGAAATAATGTTGAAACGAATGGCTAATCTTTGGGGCTGGGTGGTCTTATTTGCCAGAAGATATAGATGAGTCGAATAGGTACAATTATGCACCAGTAGGAAACGCCAGTAGATGTATATCTACCATAGCAGTATTCCGCTCCGGCCGCCGTGCTTGCCTCCGAGGAAATGTTCCTCAAGTATGCCCCCAACCCCACGACTATGGTGCTTGCCGTCGATGATGGTTGGCAAATAGACTTGGATGGAACTGCCTGTAGCCACATCTGCCTCCCCTTCAAGCTTCTGTCATGTTGTGTTGCACGTGAGCACCGTGCTCTGTATTTTGTCCGCAATGAACACGATTTTCTGCCGTTTCAGAATTCTTAACATGGATGCTTCATCAGATGTGACACCGCTGCATCAACACATCGAGCCATTCGACCCTGACTCGAGCTCGTGGGCAGAGTGGGAGGAGCGCCTAGAGCTGTTCTTCGATTACAGCGGCATCACTGACGAGAAGCAGAAAAAAGTCACATTTCTGGCGGCATGCGGCAGAAAGGCATACGCTTTTCTTCGCAGTTTGATTGCACCTCGGAAGCCGATGGACGTACCTCTTGCAGAGTTGCTTCTGGTTATGCAAGGTCAGGAGGATTCTGACCTTTCAGTCACCATCAGCCGGCGCAAGTTCGGCTCGTGTGTCCGTCGCGCTGGCCAACAAGTCGCTGACTACGCTGCTGTTCTCCGCCAAAATGCCAACGACTGCTGTTTTGGAGATACCCTCGGGGACAGGCTGCTGGAACAGCTCATCTTCGGAATAGCAGATGATCAAATGCAAAGAAGACTGTTGTCTGAGAAGAATCTAAGTTTCAGCAGCGCCGTTGCCATTTGCCGCACTATGGAGGCGTCCAACTCAGATGATGAAGTGACGACCAGTGATCATACATCCGAGATCACAACTCGGCCAAACTCGGAGAGCACCAACTGGGTAAGCTTACCCTGTTGACACAGCGCGTGGTCGCACCATCAGTGCTGCCGTTGTCAGTGAATGAAAATGCAATTTTTCATTTCTTTATGTCCGAACCTTTTCAATGAACGTAATTCTGGGATCAGAACCTATGCTCAGCAACGCGTGTAGCCATGATCTCGCCATCCGATGCAGAAATTTGCGGTCAATGACAGAATTTGGTGACAAAGCTCAACGTGCCACAACACTGCGTACGTTCCGTCCTGAGGCCTCTTGTGCGGCTGCTTTCACACGCCAAAGGCAATCCAAGTCAGTGACAAATAGCGAGCGTATAAAGCGACACGACCCCACCCCACCATGGGTCAGTGAGTCGAAACACCGGCGCTCAAACCAACTGAGCAGTCGCCACGGGCTACTACTGTTTGCTATACTGCTCATCATATGCCGTACTTTTACAGCTGTAAGCTGAAGCCGAATCAGACCTTTGAACTCAGTTTAAGGGCTCTGCTGGCTGAGAACCAATAAATCTGCGTTTCGCCTCATATGATTAGTTCTGTGGGCTCGGCATTTGCTTGTAAAGTGCATTCCCAAAGCATGAAGAGGCTTTACGCTAAGCGTCCCCATTGCTGATAACGCCTTCGTTGGCATGCCAGGCAACGATTGTTTTAGGTTGAGTCTTAAAAGTTACAATAAAAAATAAATGAAACGCACCTTCCAACGTCATTACCTGCAATAACTGTTATGCTAATGGTGGCACAAGGGTCATTCAATACCAACGACGTGTCAGGTTAAGTTTCCAAAACCGCCTTGTATTTAAAGTACGATTATCCCCGATGCTGAGTATGGTGGGGAAATCTTGGCTGGTATTGACCTGAGCCGCTGAGAAGGCAGATATGGGTGCGTCATTATTGTTTCATGTATCCGTCCTGGGAACCTGGGCATGAATGGCCCACTTCATGCCAGTGAAAACTGTGTTCCGCTTCGCCATGGTAACTCATTTCCAACGCACCATTTTGCCCTTATGATGAACGTCTTGTGATGACTGTCTGCTTAGAACTTTGTACCATCGCGAGGATTAGGAGTTCTCAGAAATAAGCTTTCAACTGGTGGATTACGTAGCAGGCTAACCACAGGCAGGGCAAAAACAGGCGACGAGTTTTTCCGGAACGTTGTGAAATGCGGGGTTCCATGGGTGGTACGTTCCTTCCGCACAGACTGAATCTCCCTAAGACATTCAACACTAACTCTTCGTGATCAACATCGTCGAGCATCACCAAAATTTTACCCTCATGGTTGTTGTTATTTCACGCTGGGAATAAGGTAATGTGGCCGTCCATTGCATCGTTAACATTCACGGTGGTATGCTTTGAAAGAAACTTTTCGAGGGTGTTCGGACCAAATCTTCAACAAGCCATAATGTTTATTTTCACGCATGAGTCAAAGGACTTGCTGACATTTGTGGAGAAGTGGGCGGTATATGCAAGTAGGAAAACCGTAAAACATATTGTCAACACAAATCGGATGATAACTTCAGGCTACTCCTCTGCAAACGCAGCACCTTATATTTATCTACTGCATTGCAGACGCGTAATGAGAGCGAGATGGGGCTGGAGCGCCTGTCAGCCGAGCTGGACGCCTCGAGGAAGGCGTGTGCCATCTACAGTAACGAGTTGCTCCGAGTGAAGGCTGCATATGAGGAGTCTCAGCGGCAGCTCGACTCCATCCGCCGCGAGAACAAGGTCCTGTCCGGCAAGAACGAGGTAGGCTCGCCGACCCATAGATTGATGTTGTCTGGTGTTCAAAAGCCTCAGGATCTGGTGAAGGCTTCATGCGAACGCCTGTCCTGATTTTGATAACTGTAAACTGCTGTAGCTGTGTGTCGGGCAGCTATGATCAGCGATCACGAAATGCCGTTGGAGGAAATATGCTGGTCTGCCGTTATGCTGCCGTTCTCTGCTGTTAACTATGACTTTCGCAAGCTCAACTTTGGCCCTATTGACGACAACCATCTTTAGATAGAACAGCAGGAAACCGCATTACCGCAGCAATTAAGCCAATGTCAAACGGATGGCACAGGCTGAGCCGCGATTAAATAATTTTATCTAGCTGATTTGCATTGGGCTTCTTTGCTTGCCCTCTCAATCTTCGTATTTTAGTTTAAGGGTACTTCGCCTGCCTGCACCATGCCCGGTGTGTATCGTACGCTGTACAATTTAGCACGTGGAACCGAGCAGTCATTCTTGCCAATTACTGACCCGTGCTGAAGATTGGGAGAGATTAGAGATTAAAAGATAGGACGCTTCAAGAGATTAGAGCAGGACATCAACGAGCTGGAGACCGCCCTCAACACCGCCAATGCGTCGATTGCCGGAAAACAGGAGGCGGTCCGGCGCTACCAGGCCGAGATCGGCGAAACAACGGCGCGCCTGGAGGAGGAGGTCCGGCTGAAGACCGAGCTCCAGGCGCAGTTGGACGCCTCAGAGCGAGCCAGGGACGCTCTTAGCGTCCAGCTAGAGGAGAGCAGAGCTCTGCTGGAGCGGGCCGAAAGCAGACGGCACCAGGTAGGCACGAGGTCACGGGTCGGAGTGAGGTCACAAGAGATCAGTGAATATTGGCCGATAGATCTGCGCGACGTCGCCGAAGATAAACCTAGATTCTTTAAAACATCAGTTGTTAGCTGACAGAACCAACTGCTTTGCACGCAAGCAGGAAGTTTAATGAGGACGTGTTCTGGTACGCTGAGAGAATAGCTCTCTGCTGTGGAAGTCCAGTATAATGTCGTGCAAGTTCAGAAATGCTCATCGGCATAAGTGTGCTCGTAGTCATTTGTGTGATGGTTTTTCAGTTCAATGACATGATCTGGGCCTACTTTCATAAACCTTCGTAAAAAAACGACTTGCGAATGTCGGCCAACTTTGCGCACGGAACGCGAGGGCGGGGTCACATGGGTATGGCTTCTTTGAGCCAAGATATTAATGAAAGCTACTGGGCGAGCGTGCAGGACAAACTTCTCAGGAGTTAGGGGCACATTTGACACGTGCCTCTCTCCTCAAGAAAATGATGACTTTGGCTGCTTCTCAGTTGCTGTTGCACTGACCTAAAATCATGACACATAAGGTGAAAGCGTCAAATCACCCGCCAGTGATGTTGAAAACCAATTTGAATACTGTGACAGGTTTGCATCATTGCATGGGAGAAATGGGACGTCCCAAGAATGTGACACAAATTATGCAGAGACTGACTTCTAGCACGTGAGGAGCCAGGAAGAAGACAAAAGTATCCAAGTAGGCCGCGGCGAAATCGCTTTGTAGCCGACATTTTGCTACCATTACAATGAATTTGCATGACATTACGCGCACCTGGACTTCATGATAGGTGGACTCGGAATCGATTGCCGCGTCGGCCATCTTTCCGTTGAGTTGAGGAAATTCGTTTTACCTTTGTAATTTCACTGAAACTCGGACTGGATTTGAGTCAACGAACCGCAGTTTCAGGTCTAAGTCAAGTCAACAAATTGGTTGTTCAGTTTGCATGATAATGTTGGCACAGAGATGTCTGAATGGTTAGGGAGCTGAAAGAGAATGTTCCGCAGTTGAAGATGTTAAAGCAAGCGTCGCATATGATGAGGTATACTCACTTATAACTATTGGTGTACTTTTGAGAGAAAAAGGTTGCTGTAGACAACACGAGTTCCATTTTCAGTAAATATGTTCGATTGTGTGTCATTGTTCGATTGTGCCATGTGGCGTTTGCATGACGTTGAGATATTGTCAAACTAGCCGTGCGAAAATTTCACTTATTTGTAGTACTTCCTCGTCGAGGGATAGCAGCACGGGCTGGAAGTGTTTGCTGAGCCAAATATTGTCACATGTTCATATCTTGGCCCTCTGTCCTGATGCTCTTGTTTGTTTATTCGCGGATTCAAAATGCTTGCCTGTATTCAGTCACTCAGTTGTGACATTATTCGTTTACTTGTATCTACACACTGGATTGTATCGTTATTCTTAAGTTACTCGATTACAAGTCGTATATTCTGTGCTAGCTACCAAGTGAAAAAGTTGTGTCGGACTTCTTATATTATGCAGCACAAAACGCGTTTCATCGCTAAAGCTTACCACTGCGTACTCGCATTGTTGACGAGCCCCTTGATTTTTGAGTCATTTGGAATTCGCACTCACGAACGCCAGATGTGAACGGCTGGGTGATAATATTCTTCCTGGCCTTGAACGCCGCCTGGCCTGTGGGGTGCCAGGATTTGAATGACGTTCCCAAGGCGTCATGCATGCCTGAATGACCTTGAAATAGTCTGCACATCTTCGCGGGCGTGGAGCTCTGAAATTAGAGGGTTTTAGGTCTTAACGAGGTCAGGGTTATGAACTTCACCAAGTGATCTACAATTTGGCTATTTCAGCTCAAACCGCCCTGCAAATGTGGAACACTCCCTTTAAATTCGCACCAAATGAGCCGCAAGTATAGATAGCCGTGTTTTTGTTGAAACACGTGCACTGTTTACCATGTTATGAAGGTCATTTTTCAAGAGCTGATTATTCCCTATACGTTACATCGGAATCCAACCATCGGAATCAATTCCGTTTTTGATCCATACCTGGTTGAGTCGAATCCTATTCGACTCAAAAATGCACTGCGCTGCTCAAAGTAAGAGTGAAAACCAACATCATGCGTTGTGGGTGTCGTGGGCCACCGTCGGCAGCGATCCTGCTGAAAATGTATCAATGGCAATGCTGATGTAAGGAAACTGCCATCGTCGTATAGGTGTTGCATCAACTGGACCGTGCTGATGATTCGAATTACTGATTTGGTGTGGGCTTCTCAAGTTGACTGCATGAAACGTTTCCAGGCAACGCCATGTACTAACTTTGAACAGCTGCCGACGAAGACGCGGGACCTCATCCTACAATACCTCAGGCCCTCACAGTTGTTAACGATCCGCGGAGGTAGGTAACACATGCGACGGGTTATTGTGTGGCGTTGACACCTGAACTTCCACTGCAAACATTCTAGTCAGTTGTGTTGTGCGTGTTGTTAAAAAAGTTTAGTTAAACAAAAAATCAGCCATGATTTCTGTATGCAATTTGCTTGAATACACTTGAGCACACAATGTGCAGCCCTGGTGTCAGCTTGTCAAAAACTGTGGTGCAATTACTATCACCTTAAAGTGCTTTCATGTGTTCATGATATGTGATCATTTACTTAGAAATGTGTGCTCGTGCCTTTCAACCGTCTGGCTGCCAGATGCTGTCAGGTATTGCTGTCGTCACAAAACGATTCCATGACGCCATCAAACAATGACGTAACGGGGCGCATTTTTACCAACTTTGAAATTTTGCTACACAGGTTGGGTTTGGAAGCTTGAACGCTTACCAATAGTTACATGTAAGCTTTTCCCGTCATATTTGATGCTTATCTCAATATCTTAAATGTGGAACATTCCATTCAAGCAATGCATAAAACACCGCCGGGACACATGCCAAAGTAAACCTGGAAGGATCATTACTGAGATCACGCAACATCATCATGTGCAGTACGCACAGACATAAATATTTGACCGCTGGAAAATCTAAAACTGACCTTTTCACACGATCATTTCGATCTGTCAGGCAAAGGACCCTCAGCCTCTCCATTGGCTCCAAGTCAGGCGCGTATTGCATTTGGAGCGACATCTGGTCGTCACAATGGCCACCAGCGGTGATAGCAGCATGCGATAGATGTCGACGTTAATCAGTGCTTCGAAGCGTCGGGTCCGTCCACTGGTGCAAGCAGAGACGGATCCAGGATTTCGTTAAGGGGGGCACGCAACATCGTGACACCCTAAAGTTTGTGGTCCCCCTCCAAAAAAAAAATTGTCTTCCGGTTGTCACCTTTCAAGGCTAGTGCTACGTCGTATATATGTATGTATTTACTTTTTCATTTATCTAATAAATACGGAAACCCATCTTACTCTGCACAACCTTATAAAGCTAGGCATGCTCGCATTCACACACATAAAGCTCGCTCATATTCTACAGGTCATTTTAAATGCTGTATTTTTGAGGCTAAGTGTTTCGGAGCAACAGGAAAACAAACTTGTGTTGGCTGCTAGCAACCATTTAAACCAAGCATGGACTTGATTGCTGGCTTATGCATTTACGACTAGCCGGCTGTGCGATCTTATCAGCTGATGGCTGATGACTAATGCAGAATATTTCCTTTGTTATTAAGTAGCACAACATATCCTTGCGTTCAAAATATTTTAAGAACGTGATGCACTAGTATAATGAGTGTCACGCACTCAATAGCCAATTGAAATGACACATACGACGTCTGCGCATGTCTACGTGCGGCAATAGCGCGTAAAAATTCATCGGCGCATATTCGACTGCTGCTCTCAGACGAACGCATCAAGGCCAATAGGGACGGAACATGAGCGATCATGGGTGTCGCAGCAGGCCAACCAAGTGGCTCCCGTCAAAGGGTGTAGGGTTTTCAGAGCAAGCAAAAAGAACCCAACACCAGCGTGGTGGGCCCCTAAACGATTGGTAGTGCTTCGGCAGGCTGAAATATAAGGCCCCGGCCATAGCACAGGACCCTCTCAGCAAATGGGAATTATCCAAGACCATAAATTAATACCCCGGTGCGATCAAGCGTGCACGGGCAGGTTAACAGCACGAGCCTCGATAGGAATGAAGAGTCTTCTGCAAATGAGAGCAAAGGGAGAGAGCTCTTGATCAAAGTAGAGGGCCCCTGAGCATCGAGTGTCTCCGTACCTCACCTTATAAGAGCCCTAGCAACAGCACAAGGTCCTCCAAGCAAGTAGAAAGAATCCGAGACTTATATGACGGGCCTCTGAGAGTGTGCCCTGGCATATGGGGCCCCGGAAAAAGTGTATGGGGCCTTTCGGGTGAATGGGGATAACCTGATCGGTTGACAGTGCTCAGGCTCAGGCTCAGGATCAGATAGCGTCCCAATAGCACATTGGGCCCTATGAGAAAATGCAAAAAGATCAAGGGCAGCGTGGAAAGTTCCTTAGCGATCAGATTGGTCCGGCAAGTGGACTTATAGGGCCAGGCAACCAGCAGCGTGATGCCTCTAGATAGCGCAATGAGGCCCTAAATTTCTCCCAAGCAACACTTTCTCAATCAGCGAAGAATAAACTTTGCTTGCTTATGAACTCTTTAGTCTTGCTAACCATGGTTCTTGGTCGCCCATAGCCCCAAAGGCATCCAATTTTGTTGTGTTTTTGTTGTAAGAAAACTGCGTCCGTCCGGCCGGTTATGGGCCCCTTCGGAGCCTTTAGGTCACCTTCGGCATGGTCCATGGGGCATGGTCCCGTGCCTCCCCCCCCCCCCCCCGACCTTCTGCATCGGCCCCCGGCCCGAGCAGCTGACTGGTTGTGACTCGCCAAGAACATGGGGCCATCCATTCAAATAAGAGATATTCAAGACGCAAAAAGGACGGCTCTGAACGGTCGAGCGCGCCCACGCAGGTTAACATATCGGGCCCCCGTCAAGAGCGTAGGGCTCTCCATTCAAAACGGAAGTACTCAAGACCCGATGTAGAGGGCTTCTGAATGATCGAGTGTGCCAGAACAGGTTAACAGATAAGATTCCCAAAAAGACCGTACGGCCCTCCATTCAAATAGTAAGTATTCAGGATCTAATACAGAGGATCCCCGAACGATCCAGTGCGTCAGAGCAGGTTAACATCGAATATGAAATACTCACAACACGATACAGAGGGCCCCAAATAATCGACTGCACCACGGTAGCAGTCGATTTGGGGCCCTGAAAAGGGCAGAAGGCCCTCCGTTTAAAAGAAAGTATCCAAAACCAGATGTAGAGGTCCCCCATTATCGAATGGGCCCGATGATCTTATAAGAAGGGGTTCCGACAGGAGCGTAAGGTCCTCCATTCGAATAAGAAGTACCCAAAACCCGGTGCGGAGGGCTTCCCAGAGATGGAGTCTAGCCGAACAGGTTATCAGATGACCCGACAGGAGCAGAGGGCCCTAAATTCAAACACCAAGAAACAATGTGCGGGGCCCCCCGGGCAATCCAACATGGCCGAGGTGGCAAACAGAAGGGGCGCCCGACAAGTGCGTAGGGCCGCATTCAAATAGCACGTGCCCAAGCCCCAACGTAGAGGACCCCGAACGATCGAATGTGCCCGAGCAGGCTATCAAACAGAAAAGAAGTGCCCAGGAGCCTTTCTGGCGAATGGAAAGAATCCGTGTAAGGGCCCATGATTGACAAGAGTGCCAAGGCACGCTAAGAGGAAGGGCTCCAACAACAGCGCAAGGCCCTCCGAGCAAATGCAAAGAGATAAAGGGAAACGTGGAACGCTCCTTAACGATCGGAATGATCCTGTAAGTGGGCGTTTAAGCCCCGCAAACAGCATGGGGCCTCTAGACAATGTAATAGGGCGTAAAATTTCCAGTGAAAAACTTTTCCAATAATTAAATGATTTTTTCAACTTCTCATAGCCCCTGCACTTTTGCTCACAATTGTTCTTGGTCGCCTGGAAGTCAAGGGATACCCAGCTGTGTTGCGCTTTGTATTTCAAAAACTGCACCTGTTCGGCCGGCCATGGGGCCCCTTCGGGGCCCAAGGGGGGGATGTGGCCCCCTGCCCCCCCTCCTCTGGATCGGCCCCTGGGTGCTAGGTCCGTATAGCTGAGTGCTGTCTCTCTCCCACCCCTGCCCACCTGTCAGGGGTTACACCCATGGTTGCCATGATATCCTCGCACGCACATTGCAGACTCTTCCACTCGCGCTAAGTTCTGATCAAATGACCTGATTTCACTGACAGTCTCACTTATCTTGAGCTCCCAGGGGCGTCAAACTTTCTAAGTGACCAGGTGACGGGACTGATGGCCCAATAAGCTAATGTCTACCTGAAGTTTTGTTTCTCAACTGACTCATCCCGCTTTATTTTGATAAATGCCTAATTGTATTGCTGTGGCCAACTGTGCTCCTCACCCTCCCCTTTGGCGAACGGTCAACATTAGCTCTCCTGGCAATAAACCAGACACGGACCATTAAAAAAGATGCATTGATGTACCTGTCTCAAAAGAGCATAGGGACATCTCGGACCATTATGATCAAAACTGCAAGGCATTTTAAGTCGTCGTGCCTGACCAGTCACATACCACTCCCATGAAATCGACGCTCTACCAAGAGCTGGCAGAACGTTGGCCACAAGCCTCATGGATTACGATTATTGCGATGAGCCTTGTGAGCTTCGAAAGATCAAGGGTCATACTGGAAGCGTTTCTCTTCAGCCGCGATGAGCAGCTTTGCGTGAGAAACTATGGCTTGGCTGGTTTTGGCATTGTAGATCCTCCTGGCTCTTCCTTACGTACGATGTCTGCCTATGTTATCGGTCATGGCGGTTTGTAGACTGGTTAGCCGGCTATCGACTACTTCGTCAACTGCAAGACACGTGACTTGATGTAGTGCGATGTATGTGATGTTGATTCTCTTTGCTGTTGTCGTGTGTTGGCACTTTACTGAAACATTAGGCAACATGAATTTGTAAGAACAATTAGCATACACAGATAACAGCATCGAGTCCCGAGAAGCTCACCTTGGTAATTCGAGAGTCCCGAGCGGGCGCTTCATGAGAGGCGGGGAACAGGACTGTACGTCACTAGCACCCAATCCCACCCAACCGACCATAACCTCTCCAACCTCTCCCTTCAAGCCCAAGGTGGCCACCACTGCCAACGTTGTTTATGTCAAAGCATATGGACCGTAGATATGCCCACCGGACATTCTTATCTACTCATGAGCACATGACAGTCGTGGCTATCACGGCGACCAGGAGCGCAGCCAGAATCTTCGTAAGGGGAAAGAGTGCAGGGCCGACATAGGGTCCCTGGTTATAAAATGTCCTCCCCCTAAAAAGCATAACTGATTTTTGCCTTCACCCATATGTAAAAAAAAACAACACGTAAGCCAC